ATAGTGATGCAAAATGTCCTGTTGAAGCGTCTCAGGTATCACCAATCGCATCAACTTGTCTCGATTTGCAGCTGCTTCTTTAGCTGTCGGGCAGTAGAAAAGTATATCCGACTGATCAACTTCATAATTCATAGCAATAGATCCAAACGTCTTAGCATCTTCTTGTGTCAGATCCCAGATCTCCCCAACCAAATACTTCTTCATGCCCAGGGTCCACGACTATTCGTTCTGCGCTTGCCGGATTCGTTCGATCCGTAGCTCTCTCACAACTTCCTCTCGTATGGAGTCTGGATCAGATCCAATATCAACCCCAGATCTAGCCTTAGATCGGGTCGTCAGAGCTGATATCTATGCGATCTCGTGTTCGACTTTCACTATCAGGATCTCATCCAACCGATTTAAAGTTATGAGATCCCGGATCTCCATGTCAGACCCTATCTCGATCCCACATTGGCGTTGCAGAGCACTGCTTGATAAACTGTCAGGACTCCAGTTCCAATTCCGTTTGACGTGTAAAAGCTGGCCAAGTACGTAGTAGATCCAAAGCCCACTGGCGTAACAGTGTCATACCCGGTGCCTTACAATCGATCGCACCTCGTACTTGGCGGATCACCAGGTTCGAGTCTCCGCAGATCACTAAACGTCGCGGATCCTGATATCCCAACCGATCCAAACGTAGCACCAGCCCATGGTATTCCGCCTCATTCACCGTCAAGCCTTCGGCATACCCAGAGCTAGCCTTCAGCACCCTCCATTCGGGCAGCTTCCACAAGATTGCGTTGTAGGCGCCCTCACTTCTCTTGACGCGAGCAAATTAATCGAAACAAACGACTTATAGTTCCTCATCGCGTCTAATAGTGGGGATCGAAGCTTGGATCTTGCGTCTCGGCTCCTTTTTGGGGGCAATAGAGATCAATGCGTTATTCATTTCGGATCCAATGATCGTAAGCTCTCGTCCTCTCCTTTGACACACTTGGTAATTTCCGGAGTCCAGGGCGACAACAGAGCAACCCACTGTCCTAGACGTCCTTGTAGGGCTGTGGATCTGAAGAGCCACGCCAACGTGGAGTGTCGGGTTAACACGTGGATCGGGCGTCCGACTAGTGCGTTGTAGTTAAGATCCAGGATCCTCAGAAGGGCTAATACTTCCTTCTCCACGATGGCATAGTTTAGCTCATTCGACTTCAGAGTACGGCTCGCAAACATCACGGGGTATTAGATGTGTCGTATTCCTGCATCAATGATCCCGAAATGGCCCAATCGCTCGCGTATATCACGATCGTGGCCCTTCGATCTGGATCAAAGTGTCGTAAGATCGGAGTAGTCTCGATTTTGGCTTTAAGCACACTGAAGGACCGATGCGCATGGATCCAACGCGAATCCACCTGGGTAAGATCTGGTGTCTCCAGATCCAAAGTATTTTGGTGGTCGACCACCTGATCTTCCTGTGGTCCTTGATCCACGTTCTCCACTTTCAATATTTGTTGGATCTGCGTTTGGGTAGCCTCCTTCATCATCGCAGCAAAGATGATTTCTCGCAATTCATACAGAACTGACGCGTAGATTGTGTAGTTTTCGAAAAAGCGGCCGTAATAGTTCAGACTTCCCAAAATTGACTGCATGGCTCGAAGTGATCCAGGGAAAGCTAGATCCGTCAACGCCGACAGATCCTTAGGGTTCGCCTCCAGTCCATTGTGGGAGACCTTATGACCGAGATATTCCATCTTAGGCATTCCCTAGAAACTCTGAACCACATAGATTCCACTTATCACACGCTTCGAGTAAACCTTCGACTCGATCACATAATTGATCCCGGTTATTGGCTGGGATCAGGATGTCGTCGATGTATGATCTACGCCCGAGCACCGATGGCTTGCCTGGATCGACCTGTTCCCCGTCCTCAAACCCATCCACCGCTCTTCCATGATCTTCGAACTTCGGGACCCGGGTGAATCCATATAGCGCGTTATCAATCATACGTTGATAGATCTGGAGCAAATTTTTCAAGCCAAAAGTCATTCGATTCCACTCAAATAACCCAAACGGAGTGATAAAAGCCGAGATCAAACGAGCCCGATCCGTCCTTTTCACCACCCAAAATCCACTCACCATATCCAAAGAGGAATAGCAAAATGTCGACTCCAGATCTTCAAGTAAGTCGTTGATAAATGGCATTGGGTATATCATCAGCTGGGTTAGACTATTAATCAACCGGTAATCGATGCACAACCTGATATCCACTCCGTTCTTCTTGATGACCACCACGATCGGGGAAGCCCACGGCGATCTAGAGTAATTGATCGTCTTGGCGGGTAACAGACCCTTGATCAGGTCTGTCAGCTTCTCCCTGAACTGGATCCGCAGCTTACGACACTTCAGGGCGATAGGCCTCGCTCCTCCGACATAGATATCGCATACGACACCTCTGGCCGCCGGTGGAAGGGCATTTCCTTTGCCGATCAAGAGATGTCGGAACTTCCAGATCCTTTGGCGAAGTCGATCAATTCCTTCTGGGGTCTGATTATCCGATCTACATAGTTGAAGGTCCTCGATCTTCACATCTTCCGTCGTCACAGACACTACGGACATCTGACCATCGACATCTTCTGTGTATAGATCACTTCCTTCATGGTAGTACACACATTCATCTTAATCTTGATCTGAGGCCCAGGTGAGGTCCATATCCGATACGCCTGGTTGATCTTCAACAACGGGTGATGGATCCATGTCCATTTTTGCAACATAAATGCGGCGCACTTGTCGTGCAACGGATCACCGGTCACATTTCCCGTCCAAGATTGTACACTTATCATTGATGGCAGATCCGATCGGCCGCATTTCGACGGCGATATTCCTTGATCCTGACCTCTCGAATGTAGTTTATCCTGATTGGCAACCCCAATAGCGGCTCTGTCTTCCTCTTCTCGCGTTTCCACTACGCCTGTAGTTTCCTACAGCGACGGATTAGTCGGTGACACGTCTGTCGTCACTTGATCGAGATTTACTAGCGCCTCCTTGATCGTTACAGCATGCGATATAGGGTCTTCATCTGCGATGGACGACAGATCCGACTCCTTGCTTGCGACAGATGCTAGATCCAACGGCCGAATCTTCGACGGTGACTTGTCCGAGGGTAGGCAGTCAGGAATATTATGATCCTGACTCGCCTCGGCCTTCCGATACTGGATCATCATCGCTTTCGACCTCTGGGGTATTGCACGCAAAGTTGCGTATTCAGATCGCTCCTCCGCGGGCACCAGCGGGACCTCGACCTCCATTTTTTGGAATCGAGTGTCTGTCGTAGCTTCCAACGCTAGATTCTGTCACTCCATGTAACGACAAGAGCCGATCGAGATGAAACCCGGTATCGGTGGCACATGGTCTCCGGCCAGTCAGATCCCGTTGATCTTGATGCAGGATCAACACCTCATCCCCTATGTTGGTGATCGATATGTATTTCGGCCTCCCTGGCCCATCGGATATTGTCGGCACCCATTGATTCCCAGGAGTGACCCACAGCTTGTCGTGGATCGACGACCTCAGGCGCAATGGCAGTTCCACCGATTCTCTTGTTTCGATCCGAAGGTATCGGCCGACATTTACAATCTTCGACTTGTCGCTATATAGCTGCTGCCTCCCGCTAAGCTGGATCCGTCCTTCGTCGGGCAAGCTGATTGATCCATGAGCTAGATACAGGCGGATCCCGACTGGAACATGAAGTCCATACCAAGTATAGCTTGTTGGCCAGTCCGATCACCAACCCAGATATCAAAGAAATATACCAATGATCCAGTGAGAGTCACCTTGATCCGGGTTTTCCTTCTGTCCGGTATACATTGTCGCCAATTCCCACGCAGTCCTGAATCTGACTCGAGTCGATATAGCACCCAACCTTACGAGCAAAGGCGGTGTCTACGATGGACACCTCGGCGCCGGTATATCAGAGTAAGATCGCTTTATCATTGTGGATCTTGTCTGTGATCTTCGCTTGCCGAAACCATTTTCCTGGCGAATGATGCTTCCAGTAACCACGGGGCTCTCCCGCTAGTAGATCTATAACCGTTAGTACTCCGAGCTCTTGCTAGGACTCTGGATCGCCGGAGTAACCTAATGATCTGTGATTTTAAACCATAGATCTGGATCCTGCTGTCTTCAATAACCTCGTGACCCCCCCTGGTTAGAGATCCACACTCATGGTGACTTCGGATCTGGCATACTCGTCGACTTGACGAAGTCTTGACATTGCGAAGGTGCGTTTCCCATGCAGATCATATGTATTACCGTGTAGATCGGATCGTTTACTAACCTGATCTACCGATATCTTGTTCACAAATGCGTAGATGCGGTATCTAGAACGTTCGGGTCGTATCGGATTCAACCCCGACGAGCGTCCTAGTTTAACATCTTCTCAGCAGCTTCGGGTAACATACCCATGTGCTTCGTGGGGTTAAACCACTGACGGATCTGGTTATAGAACTCTTCCATCAGACGTCGTGTATGGTAATTTTGCTTCGCTACCGATACTCCAAGTCCGCAGTACTGGATCTGGAAACTTCGTAGTAGATCACTCCATTTGTTGCGAGTGGATCTGCTCAGCTGGCGATACCAGTTCTTCGCGGATCCATCGAGGAGATCTGCGAAGGTCAAGCATTTTTCGTCATCCGATGCTTGATCCCGCATGAACGCGGACTTGACTTTGCTGATCCACGCTCGCGCTCAATCTTCGTCTTGATCCTTTTCAGTGAACTCCTTGAGATCCGAGATCGCGGAGATCCGAACGCGCTGTATCATAGTGGAACCTGTGGATCCAGCAGTGGCGGTAGCCAGGTGGAAAGCCTACATCATCCGGGTGATACTCCCAACGAGATCCATGATCCGTGGATCGAATGGACCATTTCGACATCTTGTAATCCTTGATGCTGTGGACGTGTAGTAGCTGGATCTTTGTTCGCCTCGCGTTCTTCGGCCAAGTATCGGTCCACTGCAGCATTGAAGAACATCTTCAAGGTACCGATGGACTGACCGCAGCTGACGCATAATGTGATGACACTGTCAAGTTGGCGACGGCGTCAGTCGTGGTCTGTGGCATTGGATCTGGGCTCTGGGGCACCTCGCCAACTAGGATCTTCAACTTCCGTAACACATCGCGACTGGTAGTCTGGATCATATCCAGATCCAGGTCAAACAGTGCGTCTGCGTCGAAGGATACAGGAACCATAGCAGCCTCTTTTAACAGCCGGATCAGCTCCGTCGTTGCGTCAAATCGGTTGGCCAGTGTGGTGGGAGCTGTCATAAGGTCCTTCGGATTCGCGATCTGCTTTAGTTTCAGGATCCGCATCACTGGATCCTGATCCACGAAGTCACGTAGCTCCTTGTGGTGATACACGGACTTCAGATCTTCTTCAGACCAGCCAAATCCGGAGTGATCTTCGTCTTCGTCATCATCTGGCGTTTTCATCTTCGTACGCGCAGTCTTGGATTTTTGGCTTCCCGACCTTGGGTCCAGAGACTTGCGTGTCCTTGGGTAGATATAGTGTTGGCTTATCCGGATCAATGAATGAATACGGTTCAGCCTTCACCTTTTTGTTTTGTTAGCGGATCTTGATGCGAGTCAAGATCCGCAAGGGTCTCCATTCCGGAGATCTGTGGAGGATGAGATTTCACTTCCAGATCTGGATCAGGATCCAGATTGGCCTCACTTCCGTCGACAGTGTTCCTCCTGGCGCTCTGCCGATCCGCAGCTCTAGCGTTCAACGATACCGTCGTCGATCTGGCATCCGACGACATCTTGTTCCCTTGTTCAGTCTTCACTTGAACTTCTTCTTGAGACTCACGGTCACATCCCGAGTCACCAGAAGATCAGGGCACGCGCACCTTTGTGGTGGAGCGGGATCAGCAAAATCTACGAAGATGCTGGATCCGT